CGGTTCTTTTGGACTGCAATCCTCGAGGTCTGTGGTCACGCCTTCTAGGCAAAAGTGACCGAGCACAAGTCAGGTCCAAGGCTCATTCTCCTTGTAGACCATCAAATGCCTAGCTCAGCTATCTGAGCTTCCAGGCCCAAAGTTTAGGGTCCTCTGGCCCTTTGCCTTCAAGCAAGGCTGATGCACCCATTGTGCAATTCGTCCATCCACTATCTTGCCATACTTGCGGCACTGTTGACATTCAAGCCACGTGCCCTTTCTCATCAAAGCATGACTTGGGTGGATCCGCTGTCGTATGTTGAGTGCAGCTTCATCCACTGGCCCATGAATGCATTCCTTGGCTTGCAACTTCTGGAGCAGGTGTTTGCCACTGCGCCTGGGAATCTTCTCCCAGCATTGGCGGCATCCAAAGTGGTTCCCATGGAGGTACCATCTATGTCCCTCCTGTCCCTCAGCCAATAGACTTGACTCATCCACCAGTTGGCGCAACTGCTGCTCCATTGTCTGCTCAACAAAGCCACTGCATGCCGTATCTTGTTTCTGCCCAATCTCAGCAAACGTGGCACAGGCTTTGATCTTCTTGTGACAGAGGCTGCACTTCACCCCATTGTTGTGCATCTGCCACTGATGGGCTCCCTTCTGAGCTGGGCGCTGCGTAAGCTGTCTGAGCACCTCAACTCTTCCCCCTCTGGGGTTGGACTTGGCTTTGGAGGTGGTGTGCTCCGGCACTGGCTCCAGCTTGCCATTCATGTAGTGAGTAGTGGTGTTTGTCCTGCAAGATCGCACCAATTCTTTGGCCAGCCACCTGGTAGACTTCAAAGTGCAGCTGATCCTCAACCTTTAACTCATTCTCCGGTGAGGTTGGCCGCTCCAGGTTGGCACGTCTAGCCGCCACCTCCTTGGCCATGATATACTGCTTCTTGCCCCGTACATCTTCTTGTTGATTCTTGAGCAGTTTCCATGGCACCTGCACCAGCTGTAGCCTGGACCATTCCTCTTCAGGGAGATGATGCCAAAGATCTGGTGCCACTTTGCCCTGAGCTCCCTTCCGAATGGCTGCCCACCCTCCATGGTGTGGTATGTTGAGCTGGTGGCGCCCCAACACCATTTGCAGCGTGAGCCAACATCCAAAGAACCATGCCAATGCAGTGCAGTGGCCAATGAGTTGCCATCCCCCATCTTGCCATTGTGTGGCTACCACTGCAACTGCAAACTTCCTGAGCCGTTTGTCTTTGCTCGTAGCTTGCGCCCCAATTGCCAGCCTCTGATGTGGTCCAATGCGGACAGGCCACCCATGAGTGAAGATGCCTCCAACTTCACAGGAGTCCACCCCTTGAATGGGGTCATAGGCTGGTAGTTCAATGAGTCCCCTGGCCCACAGCATTGTATTCTCATTGGCTGCAATCATCTGAGTCCACTCTTCAGGCAGGGGTTCAGTATGATAGCTACGTTGCCACACCAAATGCTTCATGCTCACGGGGACTTTGCACAGCGGGCACATCATACGCTCACCCCCATAGTGGGCTCTCAAGGACCCTTGTGTCCAAGCATTGATGGCTGCCTTCTGACCCCCGTTGGCCTTCTTCATGACTTTGTGGTAGCTGCTCCAGTCAGGTCGATGCATCAGGGGGAAGGCATGCTCAAGCTCCTGGATCCTCCTGGCCCTCTGGTTGTCCATCTCAATCTTGAGCTGTATGGCCAAGGAAACTCCATGTTGAGCTGTGCCGGTGGCCTGTGGCCTGATCCAGTCATTCAGGCTGCTGGCGTCCCATCCCATGTCCATAAGATATACTTGCAGGGCTGCCATCGGTCCTGTGACCACCATCCAAGGATATGCCGCTGCTCTCAGCCTCTTCCAACTGACACGCCATGCAGTGTGAAGTTCTGCAAGCTGTTCCGGCGGCCACTTGAGGACAAGCAGATGCATTGCTTTCAGCTGGCGCTCAACCACCGTCATCAACGGATCCTGCAGGTGGCCATGTTGGTCGTAGACCACATCAACGCTGCCTCCCTTCTGTAGCCCTCCATGTCTGGCAAGCTGAGTACGGATGGAGCTATGCCCTGCGCCTCTAGGCCATAGCAAGCTGCTGAGTGCACCGATGTCTTCCACACTCGAATGCGGATGGGCCGGGACTTGATCTTGAGGTGATGAAGTTTGGCATTCCTCCTCCCTGCCTTCAGCAGACGTTTTTGTTGTGTGCCAATCCTCCTCCTTCTCCCTCCGCTGGAATCCAGTCCTAAGTCTTTCAGGAGCTCGTGAACAGAGGGCTGATCTTCCCGTCGCTGGATGGTCAGCTCCTTTTTGCAGTCATTGGAGGATGCCAGGTATCCAGTCTTGGCCAGTGACAGCTTCAGCCCTGCATCTTGAAGCCCTTGTTGCAGCACATCAAAGCCCTGTAGTGCTTGTCGGCACACTGCTTGCACACTATCCCCAACAAAGTCGATGGAAATGTCATCCACCCATACATCAATGGAGGCTTTGGGGAATTGCTCCTTGAACGGGCCAAGCACCGGGGCCAGGATCAGTTTGGCTACCAGGGGAGCTGCCGGGCATCCTGCCAAGATGCCTTTTGAACACGTCACTGGTCTTGACGTGACCTGTTCGGCCTGGAGCAAACGAGGCCCAGTGTAGACTTCATAGACCATGTTCATCACCGCTGGGGGGAAGTCCAAAGGTTCCCACGCTCCTAACAGCTGCTCCAGCTCCACACTGTCGTAAAAGCACTGGAGGTCCACCAGCAGCGACACCACATGTTTTCCAGTAGCTCTTCCAACTTCACACTTCAACAGTCTCATCAGAGCTACCTGCAGGACATGTGTGCCAGGCACACTGCGCTCCCAAGTCAGCTTTTGACCAATGCTGCACTGCCAGGGGCGGAGCTTGTCCCATCTCAGGCGGCACCACGTCCGATAGAGGAAATCGGCCTCTCGATGTCCTCCTTCTTGGGCAGCAACAGGACCAGCGTGGTGCGCACTTGGTCAGGCAGGCGTCCTTCAAGTTCCCATCTCCTGTACATGCTGCACAGCTCCGTGACTCCTTCAATTGGCAGGGCCTTGAGCAGGGAGTAGCTTACTCCATCAGGACCACATGCTTTCTGGGGCAACCGCTGCAATCCTGTTTAGAAGGTCGATAGAATCCAGGGACTGGCACTCCGTCACTGTTGGTTATATAACTGTGGAGTTGAAATCAAAGCTGCGTGTCGGAAGCCCGCGCAAGAGATATGCCAGAGGATCAAAAATTTTGCCTGCCAAAGGCCAAAACGCATCCGCACAAGGACGTCCACTTTGCTCCCATGAGCCTCATTGAGCCTTTTGAGCTCTCTTGCTAGCAGTATTTCAACCATTCACAAGAATGCTTTGCAGTGTACCTCAGACAGGTTCTTCTATGTCGCTCGGAACTTCCATCTGTCAAAATGAGGCTGAAATGATAGGAAACTATTTATGTGTAGGTTTATGTATATATATACACATACGTACAATATTGGAAACACTCATACACATACACCCTCCTCCGGGCAATGAGAAAAAAACAAATTAAGAGGAGCATCGCTCGAACACTCAGACAAAACGATGATGAGAAGGAGGTCTAACAAAAGAGTTACCTCAGGAGAGAAATACTGCCTTTCAGGCTCGTTGCTTAATTTAAAACCTCTATCTTGTCTGAGCGGTGTTCCTCTTACCCATATGCTTCGCTGTCAACCAAATCTTCTCATCTTCTGTTCAGTCTTCCATCCAAATGAGCCTACATTCTTCTTCAGCAAGTGGTCTCTCAATCAATCAATCCAGTAGATGATTGAAGTCCCCTTCTCCCAAAGCGCCATTCTCCCCAAAACATATCGCAAAAAATATTGATAGCCTGCAATGACAAACATGAAGCCTCCACCTCTAGAGTTTGTAAAATGGTCATGATATATTTTTTATACAAGTACCCACAGACAGTGAACTTTGTACAGTGTTTGTTTGTGTCTGTGTGTATCTGCTGCATGGAGCCATCTGAAGGTCCGAGCCAGAATCCTCCGAACATCTCGCGACGCTTTGGCAGTCTTGCGACTGCCATCGCTTAGCAAGGGCCCTAGGCACTAGGCTTTCAAGGAGAATCTGGTCTCACCTTGGGCCCCAGCAAGCAATGCAATGCAATCTTTGTCGTCTCAAGCTGCTTCTGAAGACTTTACGTAGTATCAAGGCCAAGTTTGAGGTCTCAACAATAGGTCCAGCCCAAAATTGGTTTCGACACAGCGATGCAACAAAAGACCATGACAATCCATGACGTGTTTCAAAAACGGCTTTCTGATTGTTTGTTTCGCCAAAAACAAAAATGCAAAATTCTTTCAGGAAACCCTTCTCGAAGAAGCCGACGATTTGATTGGCTGCAGCAACGCCAGCGTTGTCATTAGCTTCTGCAGTCTGTGCACCCATCTTCTTCTTGGTGAAGATCAAACGCGTTCCATACCTTGCAGCTAACAGAGCAATTGCTTCAAAGACAGCATGACCCTTAAGTTCATCTTTGAGAATCTAGGCTGTCATTTGCCTCAGAGATGAGATGTATGCAACCATGGGGCTTGTCGCCAACCGCTGCCTTGTAGGGCTCAATGTCCTAGAACGAAAGAAACACCGGGTCATGCTTTGTGCTACAGCATGACTAAATGATTGAGCACAAATTAAACGAGTGAGTGTCAGCTAAAGCTGAGTTCTACCATGCTCTGTCAATCCTTGGGCGCCACGTCGCAGAGATAACAAAAGTCAGGTCTCGTCTTGAGCACTTCAATCATATCTGCCTCGTGCACGACCTGCTGACCAAAGACTGGAAGACTGTGGGCTTCAGTAGATCTATATATATATACCTAGAGCTTCCATTATTTGTACTGCTGTACACGCGGTGCCGCATCACGAGGTTCTGCACCAGCCCATGACACCATGCATACTCTACAGTACCTTGCACTGCATCACGCAGACACGTACACATGTACATGGGTGCGATGTCACGCAATACACGTCCATCCACACCCACTTGAACGTACATAGGACCAGCTTTCCATGTGTGTACCCCGCAAGAGACATGTGGGCTTTCGTTCAACTCATAATTTGTTGCAGGGGGGGCAGCGTGTTCAAGTGACTATGTCCAACAGAGCTAGTCCGAACACAGAATATCAAGATTGGCAATCCTGGCATACCTGCAAATACAAGTGATAGCAAGCGGCTAAGCTGCTGAGAACTGCACGCATGGCATGACATGCCATGTTCAGTCGAATCGATGGCATGTCCTTTTGCAGTTGCACCGGCAAGGCTACCCTCTTAGGAGGTTCTTAACTACCTCATCACCACAAAGCTTCTGCACACTCTTCCGATATCCAGTGTGTTTTGGACTCTTGCTATGATGTAGCACAACAAAGTATGAATGCCTCTGAAGGCTGCCGCTCAGATAGGGCTTTATATATATCTTTTCTTTTCTTCAAAATCGTCTCTGCGAGCAAGGATCAGAACTCCAAATACAGTACATAAGATCTACCATCAACTCTAAAAAGTACAAAATGTGAACCAAGCATGGATACCTTTAGGTGGCCATGAGGCAACACTGCAATCCGAGCATAGCACCTATGTAAAGAGAAAACCAAAAGTGGAAAGCAGCGGCCCATGTTAAGGGCCAATTCTGATTGATACTAGTCTTTGTAGCAAGATGGCATCATGTGTAAGAAGGAAGGACGTGTGCAAAGCAAATGACTCCAAGACTCCTGCAATTGAAGATGTTCCATGCTCCGTCTCAGACCCGAACATCATCAGGTGTCTTTTCCAACAAACTTGCTCCAATATATGTTCCAAGGTATCCATTGGCTGCATCGAATGCCACCAGTTCTTTTGCCCAAAGTTGTTCGAGCTGCTGCGTAAAGCATTGGCTCAGTGTTGATCTTGTCAGGAACTGAGGTTGCAAGCTTCTCAACACTTCATTGCAAAAGCTTCAAGCGGGTTGAGTCAAACTAGTAGCAAGGACGCTACTAGGTGGTGGCCATCGCTACTAGGTTGGAGGCCATTACTACTAGTAGCAAGAAGCTATTAGGGCGATGGCCTCCACCCTAGTAGCGATGGCATCCAACCTAGCTTCTTGCTACTAGTACGATGGCCTCCATCTTCATTCATTGCAGAAGCTTCAAGCCGGTTGGGCCAAACTACCAAGAAGCTTCCTGGTTGCTTTTGAATAATTGACCCATGGATCCTAAAGGAGTCGGTGGTCAGATGCAGTATCCAGCGAGGAAGCATGAAGGAGCATTGACTTGTTTAAAGAAGGCGTTGGCATGCGGTTTACAGGGCAAAGTTTTGAACGTATAGGCTTTGCACACCTCCGTGGTTCACTTGAAAATGCTTGAATTTCAGCTATATACTGTCTATCAGTCTGGTATTTCTCCCGGTTCCCGTTGCCCAAACTTCTGTGTGCTGGTTGGCTGCACAACTTTATGAATGTTTCCCTTTAAAAAGGTGTGTATTTTGCTTTGACAATAACTATTAACACAATGAACAAAATAACATCATACACTAGCGCCTCGGTTCGTGCAGTATTGATCAAGGTGCCTCCCTTGGGCATCTTTCCGAGCAAGGCCTGATGCGAGGAAAGGCCAAAGAAAAGCGGGATGGTACACTCCTCATATTTTGCAACGGTACCAGCGTTTTACTATGCAGCTGTCAACAGACTGTGACTGTCTCTTTGAAACTCTACGCCAAGGTGTTTTTTTAGTCACTTACACTTGAATTTGTGCCAAAGCATAGCTCCTTGCTTTGCTGTGCTAGGGTTCCCCCAAATTGTTTCACCGCTCCTTGTTGATAGAATCTTTGGTCTCGTTCGTCAAGGGCACATGCAGGGACACCTTTGTGAAAATCGGCATGTGGCAATAACTTTAATGTTTCGAGTCAAGAATGTAAGCATAAAACCATGCACTGCAACTTCGAAGAGAACCTGTCTTGACTGTTAGTTCTAATCGCCAAAAAATAAAGTGCTATTAGCTGTCTCCCAGTTTCTGACAGAAGGGAACTTTGAGTGAAAAAATGTGTTTAATTTATACTACTTATTTGAGTTTATTTCTCCCAGCTCTGCTCCTCTTGAATTTAGCCACATACTGGTGATCGAAAAGTTCCGCGACAGAGGAGACTGGTGTAGCCCCAGCTGCCTCACCGTGCTTGACATAACAAAGAAAATCAAGAGAAGTGAAGAATCACAAAATAATGGTACAAGTGGAGGGATCTGTATGCCGGCGGGTCTGTCCCTACATAAAGAAGAACTGCAAGCTGCAGCGGGTATTGCAGGAAAAATTAACAAGCAAAACAACAAAAACAGCTCCAGGGAGGGTATTGGTCAGATGGCCAACGCCAATGCAAAGGCAAAACTTGGACCTTTGTGACGGTCACGGTTGTATTCGGAAACTGGACGGTTGTTTTCGGAAACTCGTTGTATTCCGAAACTCGGCGGTTGTATTCGGAAACTGGAACGGTTGTATTCGGAAACTGGGATTCGGAAACTGCGCGGTTGTATTCGGAAACTGGTATTCGGAAACTGAAGCGGTTGTATTCGGAAACTGGAACGGTGGTATTCGGAAACTGCACGGTTGTATTTGGAAACTAGTATTCGGAAACTACACGGTTGTATTCGGAAACTGGCATTCGGAAACTGAGACGGTTGTATTCGGAAACTCCACGGTTGCATTCGGAAACTGACCGCTTGGATTCGGAAACTACACGGTTGTATTTGGAAACTCGACGGCCGTATTCGGAAACTAGCATTCGGAAACTGCTTCAGGATCCTCGATGCCAATATGTACATACATGACTGATACATTTGGCTCAAGACTGAGAAAAACCGTTTGCTTTCGCAACCGACTGCATTCGACTTGCGTCCGAGCATCGTCTGATTGGACCTTTCTCGAGACCGTGTTCTTGCCAAGGGAAATCCAATGCATTGCACTTCGTGTCACCCCACCCCACCCTGAATGCAAGAGAATGCATCAACAGTCCACGCATGTGGTTGTTCACATTCCCCCCTAGTTCCTTCCGCTGTCCCACCCCCCCCCAGCCCCCACCCCACCCTGAATGCAAGAGAACGCATCAATTGTCCACGCGTGTGGTCTTTCGCATTCCCCCCTATTTCCTTGCGCTGCCTCTCCAATGCCACCCGGCCTCCACGGTACGCAAGTACCCACAGAAGCTTAACGCCCCTGCCCCACCCCCCCAACCCATCCGACAGCATTGGTCCATCTTCTGAAGCTTACCCCCCACACCCCGCCCGCCCTCCCTCCATGGTACGCAACCATCCACATAAGCTTAATGCCCCTGCCCCACGCCCCCCTCCCCCCCAACCCACCCGAAAGCATGGATCCGCGCAACCATCTACGAAAGCTTACTGCCCCACCCCTCCACATAAGCTTGATGCCCCTGCCCCACCCCCCCCACCCTAACCCACGAAAGCATTGGTCCGCGCAACCATCTACGGAAGCTTACTGCCCCAACACCCCCCACACCCCACCCGCCCTC